GACGGGGTTTCACCATGTTGGCCAGGCTGGTCTTGAACTCCTGACCTCAGGTGATCCACCTGCCTCGGCCTCCCAAAGTGCTGAGATTACAGGTGTGAACCACCGCGCCTGGCCTTCCATCTCTTTTTTAAATTTCTGTTTGAGACAGAGTCTTGCTCTGTCACCCAGGTTGAGTGCAGTGGCGTGATCTTGGCTCACTGCAACCTCCATCTCCTGGGTTCAAGTGATTCTCTTGCTTTAGCCTCCCAAGTAGCTGGGACTTCGGGTGTGTGCAACCATGCCCAGCTAATTTTTGTATTTTTAGTAGAGACAGGGCTTCGCCATGTTGGCCAGGCTGGTCTCAAACTCCTGACCTCAAGTGATCTGCCCGCCTCTGCCTCCCAAAGTGTTGGGATTACAGGCATGAACCACCGCGCCCGGCCTAACTTCCATCTCTTGAGGGCTCCCCCAGCCACTTCTCACATGAACCTTCCTCAGCACCTTCCACTGAGGCTGCTGCTTGACCTTGGTCACCCTGCAGCTCAGCGGGGAAGGCAAAGGACAGTGAGGGCTGCTCACAGCAAACCTAGGGCAGATCAGGAAAGGCCTCCCTGAGCCAGAAACCATTACGCTGGGACTGTGGGATGAGAATGAGTTCGCCCCAGAAGGAAGGCAGCTGGTTCCTGGGGAGGAGACAGAAATCTGCAAAGGGAGGGTGGCCAAGTCTGGCCGCAGGAGCCACCCAGTGACCCTAAGCAGGGGAGCGTCATGGCTTCCCCAGGGCACAGCCCAGACCCTTCAGCAGCTAGAAAAGATCAGCTGTGGATCGAGAGGGTGCTGAGCCGGCCCTGCCCTCTGGAAGGGGAAAGGCCACGGCTGCAGGCAGCAGGTACAAGTGTCCCAGAGTGGGTCCTACAAAGGCTAACAGCCCAAGGCTTCCTGGAGGAGGAGGGATTCTGCTTGGGGCAAAAGGATGAATCAGATTCAGAAAGGTCAGGAGGGAGAGAAAGACCAGGCAGGGTGTGCAGAGGCCACAAGGAGGGCAAGACCCTAGGCAAGGCATGCCACTAACGGCGTCTGAACCAAGTTTTATGAACACGACTTTTTTTTTTTTGAGATGAAGTCTGTCACCAAGGCTGGAGTTCAATGATGTGGTCTCAGTTCACTGCCTCCTGAATAGCTGGGACTACAAGTTAGAGCCACCATGTCCAGCTAATTTTCTTTTTTCTTGAGGCGGGCGGGGACTTGCTGTGTTGCCCAGGCTGATCTCCAACTCCTGGGCTCAAGCGATATGCCCGCCTCTGCTTCCCAAAGTGCTGGGATTACATGCGTGACCCATCGCGCCCGGTCTTTATTATTTAATTTAATTAATTAATTGATTTCCTTTCCTTTTTTTCCCCCAAGCAACCCGACTCCGAGAATGGACGTTTCATTTATTCATTTACTCACCAAATTACTAAGAGCCTACTGTGAGTGTGTCAGGCCCTGAGAATAAAGCAGTGAGCAATAGAAGATCCCTGCCTTCCAGTAGCTGGCATTCTATGGGGACTCGGGCAATAAACCAGAATAAGTAAATAAAATAAATTAACTGTCGGCGCCACAAAAGCAGTGAGATGGGGGAGGAAATGGGGAGTGCCTGAGGGGCGTGGCTGCCATACTAAAGAGGATCACGAGGCAGTAACGTTTGCAGCAGTCCTCACATGGAACGGGAAATAATGCAAATAAACACCAGCAAATTCCTTTCCATCCCCAGAAGTTTCTGACTTCAAGCGGCCTCCATACCTTTCGACTGATCTCGTCACTGGGGAAAGTAGGGGACGGGCCTGTAATTCTCTTTTTCCTCCTATTCTGACATTTACGGTACTCGTAGCCGCGGGCGCAGCGGGACTCGGGGGCTTGGGCCCCGCCTCCGCCCCGCGCGTGCGCGTGCGCAGGGATAAGAGCGAGGTCTGGACGGCGCGTGGCCGGCGCAGCTGCGGGGACAGCTCGACCGGCGGTTGGATGGCGCGGGGTGGAGCGCAGCGAACCGGGGCTCTAGGCCTGGTGCTGCGGCTGCTGCTCGGCCTCGGACTAGGCCTAGAGGTCGCCGCCACCCCGCTTTCCACCCGGACCTCTGCCCAGGCCTCAGGTGAGTGACCCCCGGCAGAGCAGGCTCCCACCTTTCGTGAGGATTCGCGCCGCCCCCGCGCTCCGACAACGCCTCGCCATTGGTTGCACCGCACGTCCGTCCATGACACTCCCCCTGCACGTGGACTTGGACTTAATCGCTTGCGGGAAGGCGCGGGCTGGAGCTAGGGAGACCCCATGCTGGGGGAGGGGGAGAGGGTGCCTCCACCTGCCTTTAACGGTTTTGCCCCGGCACTACGCACCCTCTCCACACCTGCTCTGCTCTGTCGTGCCCCATTGTCACCTCCAAGCCGCCCTTCATGCCAGCGTGGTCAGGAAAGCTCTTAGCAGGTTCAGATTGTCCGACCGCTAATCACGCAGGGCGGGTCACCTGGTGCCTCTCGCACCTTTGCCTTCCAAACCCTCGCGCCCAGGCCTTGTGACCGTTCCGCGACCGTCTCTCCTCCTTTGTCCTCCATCATTGGAGAACGCGAGGTCTCTCCCCCCATGCTACTCCAGGCCCTCGCAGAGACTGGGGTCACAAGTTCAGTATACCCCCGTGGGCATGTTCGCCCTGGCCTAAGTGGTATTGGTGGTGGCCAGTAGGGACGGGCTCCCTCTCTGATACTCCTAGAGGCAGCTGGGAGGGTTGAAGTCGCCTCCCTGTGCACACAGGCACTCCCAACTTGCAGCTCTGGGCTCAAGCTCACACACTTTCCCAGCTCCTTTGTGCATTCTGCACTTTCTAGGTCCCTGGACTCATCCCAAAGTCCCTGACAATCACGCTAAATGTTCCTGGGTTTTTTTTTTTTTTTTTTTTTAAAGGAGGCAGGGTTCACGTTAACTAAGTACAAAAGTTTTTTGGTTGTTTTTTTGTTTTTTGTTTTTTTTTGAGACGGAGTCTCGCTCTGTTGCCCAGGCTGGAGTGCAGTGGCGCAATCTCCACTCACTGCAAGCTCCGCCCGCCGGGTTCATGCCATTCTCCTGCCTCAGCCTTCCGAGTAGCTGGGACTACAGGCACCACCACCATGCCCGGCTAATTTTTGTATTTTTAGTAGAGATGGGGTTTCACCATGTTGGCCAGGCTGGTCTCGAACTCCTGACCTCAAGTGTTCCGCCTGCCTCAGCCTCCCAAAGTGCTGGGATTGCAGGACAAAACTCTACACACAGTCTCTTTGTCCTCAGGATGTTGAGGTAGGGATTCCCAGCATACCCCTTTTACATGTGAGAAAACTGAGGCCAGGAGGGAAAGTCACTGGTCACTCTAACTCCTGTCAGGCTTACCACCCTATGAGGCGGGGACTGCTGTGCTCTGCTGTCCACTTTGCAGAGGGACACACACTCCAGCAGGCCAGTGAAGGGAGGTCAGAGGTGTCAGGGCTGTGGAAGTCTGGGCCTGGGTAGAGAGCCACACCTGGAGGCTGCCAGACCCCTTGGGGGCAGGGAAGGAAGCTGGCTCTGGTTTGTCCACAGCTCTTCTGGGCTCCACAGAGCTCAGGGACCGTGTGGCAAGCAGGTGCAATTGGGCCTGATGGCCGGGGAGGGGCTGACTGTGGGCAGTGGGGGGTTGGAGGCTCATGGCTGGTGGGTAAAGGTGGAAGAGGTTAAACGCCCTGGCAGAGTGAAGCCAAGCCGGGTGGCAGAATTGCCACCTCCCCTGGCCGCACCCAGGAGGAAACCTTGAAGGCCACTCCCTTCCTCTATTCCTTGACCCAGGTTCCAGGCCCCTCTGTGCCTCTCCAGGTCGGCAAACAGCTAAGCTTCCCTGCTCAGAATCTAGGACAGCCTGGATCTTCTCTGGACCCAGCTTGAACCCTTATGTGACCTGTGTCCACTTATGATCAGGCACTGCCCTGGGTTTAGGCAGCCAGGTCACAGCCCTGACCTCCACGGACTGTCCAGTCTGTGGGTGGACAGGCATGACCAGGGCTTTGAGGACAGTTGTCAGACGTGGGAGGCAGTGCTTCCTAGGTCTCTGAGAGGGACTTGAGAACCGTCCCAGGAAATCAGCTGAGATCTGAAAATTGAGGGGAAAACACAGGGTGTAGAGAGGAGAGCAGGAAGGGCAGCTCTCTGGTGTCCTAATGGACCTTGGGGCCTGGGGCTCTGGTGAGGAGCTGACACATTTAGGATGGGGAAAGTGATAGGTCTGGGAGCAATTCAGGAGGCGAGGCAACAGGACTTGGTGACTGAGCAGGTTTTCTACCCAGTGCCTCAGTTTCCCTTTTGCTACCTAGAGGAGATACACCCTCCCTGCTAACCTGAGCCCGTGAGCTTGACCCAGGGCATGTGGAAAAATGGCCCGTCCCCCAGTCTCTTTAACCACTGAGTTTGGAGTTCTCCCGGGTAGATCATCTCGCTGTAAGGAGCCTGGTGAAAACTCTGGGATCAGTGAGACCTGAGTTCGAACCCCAACTCCACCACCAGCTCTTTTTTTTTTTTTTTTTTGTGGCGATGGAGTCTCGCTCTGTCGCCCAGGCTGGAGTGCAGCGGTATGATTTCGGCTCGTTGCAACCTCTATCTCCCAGGTTTAAGCAATTCTCATGCTTCAGCCTCCCGAGTAGCTGGCATTACAGTGCACGCACCACCACGCCCAGCTAATTTTTGTATTTTTAATAGAGATGGGGTTTCACCATGTAGGCCAGGCTGGTCTCAGTGACCTCAAGTGATCCACCTGCTTCGGCCTCCCAAAGTGCTGAGATTACAGGCATGAGCCACCGCACCCAGCCTCTGCCACCAGCTCTGTAGCCTCCTCTTAGTTCCTTTATCTGTAATCTGGGGAGTGCAGTAGCACCTGCCCGGTGGGGCTCTTGGTGAGCCCAGGAACTGCCACACTCTGAACCGCACTTGTACTAGGGGCTCAGTAACAAGCAGCCGCCAGTGTGGTTCCTACATCCCAGGACTTCACCCATCTCCTGCGGGTCACAGCCAGTGGCTGCTGTGCTCTTGGAGGAGGGTCCAGCCTCCAGCTTCCCAGGCTTCATTTGCATCCGTCTCGCAGGCCCCAGCTCAGGCTCGTGCCCACCCACCAAGTTCCAGTGCCGCACCAGTGGCTTATGCGTGCCCCTCACCTGGCGCTGTGACAGGGACTTCGACTGCAGCGATGGCAGCGATGAGGAGGAGTGCAGTGAGTGGCCACGCCCCAGGGCGGGGCTTACAGGGGGCGGGCCTGAGGGTGGGCTGTTAGGGGCCAGGCACACGGAGGTGGAGCTTGTGGGAGAGGCAGGGCCACAGGGATGGGTGCGACTTGAGTCTGTGGGTCATAAGAAGAAGTGGGGTCTAAGATGAGCTTGAGCTGGGCCCAGTGGCTCATGCCTGCAATCCCAGCACTTTGGAAGGCTAGGGTGGGAGGATCGATCACTTGATCCTGGGAGGTTGAGGCTGCAGTGAGCTAGGATTGTGCCAGTGCACTCCAGCCTGGGCAACAGAGTAAGACTCTGTCTCAGGAAAAAAAA